ACTTTGGGGTCGTCTGAATTACCACCGACGAACCGTTGGCCTTGACGATCTCTAAGTCTCCTCCAGCCCTGGTGACTCTTCATGATTTAAGGTTGTCCTAGATGATGAAGGAAACTATTTTGTTGAAACTTAGGGTTCATCTGAAATACCACCGATGAACAGTTGGGGTTGACGTTCTCTAGGTCTCCTCCAAGCCTGGTGACTCTTCATGATGTAAGGTTGTCCTGAATGATGAAGGAAACTTTTTTAATGCCTTTTTGGGTTCGTTTTGCAGATCCTAAGAAGACAGCCAGTCGTCCCACGAGCCGCGCCGGGAGCCGCACGGGGAGCAGAGCCAGCAGCCGCAGAGGGAGCGACGCCTCTGACTTCGACCTGCTGGAGACACAATCGGCGTGTTCGGACACCTCGGAGAGCAGCGCGGCCGGAGGGCAGAGCAGCTCACGCCGGGGCATGGCCAAACCTTCCAAAATCCCCACCATGTCCAAAAAACCCACCACTGCCACCCCAAAAACTCCAGGCCCTAAAAGATAATACTGTACCCAAACCCTCCTGAGAGAGAGAGAGAGAGAGAGAAAAAAAAAAATCCCAACCCGTGTCCTGTTTTTAACCCTGCTCCGTACATTGGATGTATATTTATTCTAAATGGGAGAAACTATATTGTTAAAAGTGTAAAAGAAAGTTGTGTTATGAAGCTGCCTTATTTGGGGTTGGTTCTTTTTTTTTTTTTTCTTGGGTTTTGGTTTTTTTTTTTTTCTTTTTTTTTTTTTTTTTGTAAGTTACTATTTTCATGTGAATATTTATGTAGATAAAAAAAAAATCGCCTCTCGGTGCCCTTTGTTTAGAGAGGGGCCTGGAAAACTGAAATAATGTGGGAGAGAATGAAAAAGAAAAAAAAAAACCTCGAGAAAAAAGATGAAAAAAAAGCAAAAAAAAAAAAAAGGTCAAGATGTGAAAGTGTAAAGAAAAACTGAGATATAAATAGGATTTCTGCGCGGTGCAGGGTGTGAACCTGCTTTATCTTTTAGGATTGTTTCCTAAATGCATCTTTATAAACTTAACTTGCTGTCTCAGCAAGGTAAATTATATTTAAAAGCAAAGACCTGAATCCTGCAGTGTTCAAGGAACTCTCTTTTTGTAAATCACAGATACCTCAACCAGAGAAACATGAGGTGAGGGGACTTGGGGCTTATGTTTCCATGTTTTTTTTAAGCTATGTGGTTTTACCTGAAGAAAGCAGAGTTTGACTTAATAAAATTTGCACACACTACAAGCAAAGGTCGTGACAATTCTGTCTTGAAAACACTGTCCGACAACTTTGGTTTTGAAAGAACAAAAAAAAAAAAAAAATTAAAAAAAGGGTGAGAGGGTTTGGGGAGGATTTCACACCGAAGCTGCTGGAGGAGAGGAGAGAGCACATGGATACCATGACAGGTCTGGATCCCTTGGCTAAATCTCTTAGCAGTGGTGGGTTCTCCAAGGATTCTTCTGGATTGATGGCTCACAGAGCCTGACCCAGGGTGTTCCCTGCACAATCACAACTTCCCATCACTGTGAAACACAACTCCCCAAGCCTTGGCTTGTTCACTCACAGGGAACTGAGTTTAGACCATGGTGAGACAGGTTAGTTTTGCCCTACTGCTGATGATTCTATGACTTCTCTGCATCTCTTTGTTTCCCTATTTATTATTGAACTGGTCATTCCACACTCCCAGCCAGGCTGAGATTGATGTGGCCTCTGCTCCTAGGAGAAATCTTGGACTTAACACGCACAGTTGCTTGTCCTTGAAATGAGTCTCACCAGCACACTCGCTGCAAGTCCTGTCTCGCTTTTGTACGCTCCTTTTTTTTTTTTTCTTTGTAACAAAATCCAACTGACCAAGTGACCAGGATCTGGGCCGGGGACAAGGGCTCTCCACAGCTCCTGTATTTATTAAACATTGTTCCTCTCCTGGCTCTGACCGTGTTGCTGTGTGATTCTCTCAATTGGTTTCGAATTGAGGCAAAAACTGAAGCTCTACCAATGAAAAAAATTGTTAAAAAAAAAAAAAATTTAAAAAAAACCCCAACCCAGACACTTTTGTATTAAAATTGCTTGCGGTAATAAACAATCTTGCCTCCTACTTTATTCCCCAGTGTTAGCTTTGTGAGGATGAGAACTGGAGCTGGTTATCCTGTGGGTGCTCTGGGGTGTCTGCATCAAGGTTTCCTTGTGGAATGGGAACCACCAACCCCAAAATTAAGCAGCCTGGGTGGGTGGGTGGGTGCTCAGCAAGGTGGGATGGGTACCACTGAGGGTGTTTGCTGATGGGAGTGAGTGTTTTTGCAGGTGGTGTGTGGTTTTGGTGGGTTTGGGGGTGCTGAGGTGGGTGCTTGGACAGGTCTGTGTCCTCCCAGAGGTGAGGACACATTTGGGGGTGCCCTCAGGATTGGTGGGTGCCTGTCAGGGGGGAATGCACAGGTTGGGTGTGCAAGAGATTGGGTGGACATAGAAGTGGATGCCCATGGGGATCAGTATCCCTAGGTGTGGGTGTTGATGGATTTGGGTGTCAATGAGAGTTGGTGCCAATGGGTTTGGGTGTCAGTGAGTGTAGGTTTGGGTTTGGCCTTGGGTTTGGTTGCCTAGAAATGGGTTCCCATGGGATGAGTATCCCTAGGGATGAGTGTCTATGGTTTTGGGTGTCAATGAGGATAGGCATCCCTAGGGATGAATTCCCATAGATTTGGGTGTTCATAGCTTTGGCTGCCCATGAGGACAGGCATCCCTCAGGATGGATTCCCATGGATTTGGGTGCCCATGGCCTTGTGTGCCTACAAGGATAGGCATCCATAGGTATGGATGGATTTGGGTGCCTATGGCTTTGGGTGCCCACAAGGATAGGCATCCCTAGGGATGACTACCCATGGCTTTAGATGCCCACGAGGACAGGCATCCCTCGGGATGGATTCCCATGGATTTGAGTGCCTATGGATTTGCATGCCCACAAAAATAGACATCCCTAGGGATGACTATCCCTGCCTTTGGATGCCCATGAGAACAGGCATCCCTAGGGATGGATTCCCATGGCTTTGGGTGCCCATACCTTTGCGTGCCCATGAGGATAGGCATTCCTAGGGATGGATTCCCATGGCTTTGGGTGCCCATACCTTTGCGTGCCCATGAGGATAGGCATTCCTAGGGATGGATTCCCATGGCTTTGGGTGCCCATGGATTTGCATGCCCACAAAAATAGACATCCCTAGGGATGACTATCCCTGCCTTTGGATGCCCATGAGAACAGGCATCCCTAGGGATGGATTCCCATGGATTTGAGTGCCTATGAATTTGGGTGCCTATGGCTTTGGGTGCCCACGAGGAAAGGCATCCTTAGGGATGCGTTCCCATGGTTTTGTCTGTCAATGAGGATAGACATCCCTAGGGATGACTCCATGGCTTTGGGTGCCCATGAGGACAGGCATCCCTAGGGATGGATTCCCATGGCTTTGGGTGCCCATACCTTTGCGTGCCCATGAGGATAGGCATTCCTAGGGATGGATTCCCATGGCTTTGGGTGCCCACAAGGACAGGCATTCCTCGGGATGGATTCCCACAGATTTGGGTGCCCATAGCTTTGGGTGCCCATGAGGACAGGCATCCCTCGGGATGGATTCCCATGGCTTTGGCTGTCCATAGCTTTGCATGCCCACAAAAATAGACATCCCTAGGGATGACTATCTGTGGCTTTGGGTGCCCATGAGGACAGGCATCCCTCGGGATGGATTCCCATGGATTTGGGTGCCCACAAGGACAGGCATCCCTAGGGATGGATTCCCATAGCTTTGGGTGCCCACGAGGACAGGCATCCCTCGGGATGGATGCCCATGGCTTTGGGTGTCCATAGCTTTGGGTGCCCACGAGGACAGGCATCCCTAGGGATGGATTCCCATGGCTTTGGGTGCCCATAGCTTTGGGTGCCCACGAGGACAGGCATCCCTAGGGATGGATTCCCATGGCTTTGGGTGCCCATACCTTTGCGTGCCCATGAGGATAGGCATTCCTAGGGATGGATTCCCATGGCTTTGGGTGCCCACAAGGACAGGCATTCCTCGGGATGGATTCCCACAGATTTGGGTGCCCATAGCTTTGGGTGCCCACGAGGACAGGCATCCCTCGGGATGGATTCCCATGGCTTTGGCTGTCCATAGCTTTGCATGCCCACAAAAACAGACATCCCTAGGGATGACTATCCCTACCTTCGGATGCCCACGAAGCTGAGCACCCACAGCAGCAGTTTGCCCACGAGTTGCCGTGCCCAGCGATGCTCCCCGTTCCCCGGGGCGGGGAGCATCCCGCTGGCCGGGGCGGTGCCGCCGGAGGGACCGTCC